TTTGTCAGAAAGAGCTGAAAGACACGAAACAAATATTGCGTATTTCCAGCGAAACTATGTTTACTCTGCAAAAGATTGATTTTTTACGGCCTGTTCCGGCTTAATCTGCTAGCGACAAAAATCCCGACTAATTTTCACATCAGTTTGTATTTTTTTTCTACTTCTCAAAAAAGTAAATTTTACGGTTTTTATGATTACGTCTGAAACGGCCACATCCTGGTTTTAGGTGACCTCACGGACAAATCTGAGTTGCTTAAACAAAGACTACAAAGAAGCAGCGAAATTCTTTTTTAGCTACATTTTATTGCATCTCAGCGATACAGTAAATATCTCTTAATTTAGAATGCAAGACATCGAGATGAAGGAATACCGCAAATCTTGAACAACCTAGATTTTGGTACAGCGGCTAAAGATAATAATAGTGATATTGTGTTTCATTTTATATGCAATGCGGATGTGAAAACGCGCTCATCTTTACGTATGACTGAAAAATTAGTGTTATTATGTGCACAAATTGATCATCAATATGGATAGAAATTTTCTGAAACAATTTTGCTTTTCTCTTTAGGAAAATTGACTTTTGGCACGGTGAAAATGAATTTCTGCTTTAATCGGACTAAGTTTCAGCGTCGAGCAAATAAGCCATTATTAGTAACTTACAGAAATAGGTACCATTGCAGTAGTATTTATGCCATAGCATATGAGGAGTACCAACTGCTGAAACATCCGAATGCGAGGTTGCCTTAGCGAACATTGAGGTGAGATGCATCTTGCACTGCAGGTGCTCAAAATCAGTGCGGTCGTGGCGAGGAAGGAGGCGGTGCAAGACGCCGTAAAATCTGATATTTGAAATGCCATGGATTAGCAGCAATTATGGTAGCACGTTCGTAAAATGCAATTCGAACTGATGGCTGATTTGGCAATTTTTTTGTACAAAGTTTGGAGTACTGCAAAGAGTGAAATCTCCATTGCTGTTTGCGATGTGCCTCGATTCTGTGCTCCTGCCAACACGAAGGACTGAAGTTACGGCGGCAAGAGTGGTTAAAGTCTACATAAACGCTCTGGCATTTGCGGATGCTATCGTATTGCATGTAGACAACTTCGAAGCTGAGAACCGCTATTCGTGACTCTGAAAGTACGCACTCTGATTTGGGCCCTTCAGTTAATTTGAACATGATAAATCCGATGGAAATTCGCAGAAACCAGGTCAAAGATTGTCTGACCCTTGACACCAAAGTCGAGGAAGAAATGTCAGAACATCCATATCTTGGCAGTACATTGGCTGCAGACGGACGAGCGACGATCGAAATCAAGAGCCGATGGGCATTGGCGCTAGCAGAGAGCGATTAGTTATTCAAGGTCTGGAAAAACAAGGATATTGGCAATAGGATAAACCTGAGGATATCCAGACTTGCAGAACCTCTGTGGGTTCGAGGACAGCAGAACGTGACAGAGTTAAAACCATTCGTTCCCTGGAAGCGACAGAAATGAAGATTTGAACATCAGTATTACGAGTAAGCTGGTGCGACTTAGTATTCGATGATGTTGCAGGAGAAAGATTAGAATATCGATCTTAGGTGATTGACCGGCTGCGAACAAGGCGTTTAAGATGGTCAGATCATCCAACAAATGCACGATGACCGCATTGCACAGCGGATACTGAATGCAAATCCTGACGGCAGGTGGTCATCAAGACGATGACCTTCAACTCGTTAGAAGCGACGTCATCAATAGAACTGACAAGTGAGCACTCATTTATTGGATTCAGATTCAATACTTCTGCACGAGGGCAGCCAACGTCGTCTTAGATGGAATGGGATCAAAAGATTGAGTAGGTAAAAATAAACACATTTAGACATATGAGTAGGATAAATGAGGCTTTTATTAACACGCAGCAAAGCGATCTCACAATGATGAACCAGGTTTCGACTGAAACCGCCAGCCCACTTCAGCTAAATCACTCAGTTGTTTGTAATAGTACTGGCGGGCTAAGGGGTGCAGCAAGTTGGGGAAATAGGGCATTCCATACGTGGTTGTCACTCGTCACTCGTTGCATGACTGTCATTTGCCCACTGTCATTAACAT